GTCCCGTATAAACGAAACACCGTAACGATGCCAAAAGATCGAAGCTTCGAAACAAATTTCCAAATTTTAGTCCAGAGAGAGCTAGTTTCGTCGGCTAATTTTCGTCGACTTGATTAAACCTCGAAAGGCGAAATCGCGTTGCAAGAGCTTGTTCTCGCGTGGACGAGATGAATGGGCGCATTCACGGCAGCGCCATGTGTTGGGATCGATCGGACAGGGTCCAGGTAGAAAAACGTGTTGCATTCGGGGCCCGTGAAACGCATCTGGCGAGCGGAATCGGGCCCCGACCCATCCGCGCAAACCTACGCGATTCTTTCCACGTTTCAACCTACATCGGCAAATGTTATTCGCAATTTCACGCCACGTAACCGCACAGCCGATTCCTACGTCTGAACGAAGCGTAATATAAGCGTCCAGATACTTCCAACCGTGATTATATAAAAATATAATAATAAAGATGAAATATAATGAAATCGACAGAATTACGCGTGATGAAATTTAGATACACCATGTAGCAGTCAGTGACAAATCAACTTGGGCAACGCGGCTTAGTAACGATTTATTATTACGTCGATGTGCGTGATTATCCGATGCCCGATGAATATTCACGCGATGCAAATCGCACGAGTTACGCGGATGTTACGAGTCGCGAGAATAGACGGTTTAATTACGCGTGTGTTGCCCGTTCGATTCATCCGCGGAGCACAATGTTTTACAGTTAGTATTCGTGTGTAATCAAACGTATACGATATTGTAGAAATCGGACGACGAGCAACGCTGAAGAAAAAGAACGAGCGGCGTTGTCGTCGAACAACAAGTTCCAGGTGTACACGGCCTCTGCCACTTCCGTAATCCTCCTTATTGACGGCACAATAGTTGAGATCGAATGTCCCCCCTACCCCGCAGAGGCCGTAACGAAATTATTAAGCGGGCGTCCCGTAACGGGATCGATTGGGAACAACGGTAATACACGGCGACTCGTGATCGATTCCAATTGACTGTATAACTCATCTCCGGCAGCCTTTAACCTTTTCAGTACGCGCCGACTGACAAGTTGTTGCACCGGCTGCGCGCCTCAACGACCGCGTAAATGTACGCTGGCATCGCTCTCTGAGGAAGCGCGCCACCATTTACGTAGCTGTCGTTAATTTCTCGAATCTGTTCGAATCATTTCTCCCCGTCGGTGATTTTCTGAATACGAACTCGGTGTTACGTCGTTCGTATGACTTTTTTGTCGTCATCTGAAAGCGAATAACCTACGTGCCTGTATTTTTCTAACTGTTACAAATATATAATCGAGCTTCGCAATTGTACTCTAAATGTTTCACAATGCAGAAAATTACTGGTTAGTGGACGAGAGTGTATTTGTGTCGCGATTTTATGCGTTATGCAGATAAGATTGTATCTCTCGGGAGCAATGAAAACTGATGAAGATGAAATACTCATAAAGCATATGGTCGCCGCGCAATTTTGAAATTAACCGCGTTTGCTAATTAGTCGCGTATTTTGATCAAACTTTGCGGAAAGTATCCAAATGCACAAGCAAACGTGAGCCAACACGCGTGCACGCAATCACACACACACAAAAAAAAAAAGAAAATTAAAAATAAAGGATCTATTTCTTTCTCATTATACTGCACACACGATTCTTCTTTCACCGCAAATATTACGGTAGATGTAATTCCAGACAAAGAGAGAAAGAGTTCCACGATCGTTAGAACCGATCCCACTTCGATCTCGATCGATTCGGGGGAGGCCGGGCGCAGGTGCACGATTTCCCGGCGCGAAATTTATAGACCGATCCGCGGCAATCCGCGAGAGCAAGCTAGCCCGAGGAAAGCCGAAGGGATCGGCTTCGCTTCAATGCCCTTATTCGCCGCGGGTATACGTTACGCCGCGTTATCTCGATACAGGTGCGTGCGTCCCGGCGCGGAAGATGAATGGTCGTTAGGGAGAGGAAACGATATGCAGATGAGAGAACCCCTCTGGATGCATCCGACTCTGGACACTTTTGGGCGCGGAAATGGTCGACAGTGCGGCCAGGAGACCCGATTTGGCGCGATTTCGCGATCATCGGACACCTAAACGGACGACGACAGCTCGCGGTTCATTCCAGCTTTCTCCCCTCGGCTGTAATTTCTCTCCGCGTCGAGGAACACGCCGGCCTGATCGCGTGATAAACCACGGAGACCAATTAAAACTGGTAAAAAATGAAAATGCCGGGATACAGCGTAGTGTTCGGAGTAATTCGATTCTTTCTTTCTCTTCCTTTCTTTTTCTTTTTTTTTCCAACAAGAAATCGTAACTCGTGACGATAAGTTTCGTCGAAGATAAAATGTTCACGAGCAGTAAGTGAAGCAACGAACAAAACGAATCGCCAAGCGATTCGACTGTCCCGTGACCCAGAGAGACGTTCGATCGCGACCCACTTCCCAGTCACGTTCCCTTCACGGATTACGCGGGTTTCGCAGGTCTCAATTAGGCGGAAAAAGAAAAGGAACACGCCGAGATAATTCATGCGGGGCGAGCGCGCGGGCAATTTGAATTAATCGAAGCGTGCGGTAGCCGGGGCCCGCTGTTGCCGTAATTTGTAAAGTAACCACGCGTTCCGTACGCATTATATAACCATAGAATACGTAATGCGTTTGGCTGGCGGATCGGCGACCAGGCCAGAAGTTGCCGAATGAAACACGTCCGCCACACGCGCATCTATTTTAATCCACCGATATTATAATAATCGTTGTGCAAACCGTTCCGCGTTTCCCGGCGTTCGTGATCGACGCGGCCGCCGCTGAATGGGCCACGCCGCATCCCGATTCGCGCGCTTCGCCACCAGAGTCCAACCCTCGAGGGGCCAAACCGACACGCCGCGTGTAATCACTGTAATTTCGGCCGTGGACCAGCGTAATTTTTCGGCCGAGCGATATCGCCGTGCTTTCATTCGATTTCATTAAAACCGCCGTGCAACCCGGGGCAGTCTTCGCAGGTCGTGCGAATACGATAACGATTGTACGTCCACTTTTCATCTCACCTTTGTTTCGTATCGGGGATAAAATGGTAACGCGTAAATGTATGACAAGTCATTCGTTTAAAGTTCAATATCTTGTCGAAACGATCTTTTTCTCCAAATGTTTAGAAAAGTATAGTGTTATTTACAAAAGACTTAAATTTGTCAGACTATTTTCTTCCTTTTCTTTTTAATTACTTGAAATATTTTCCTTCAAACGGTATAAAACTCGAAGAGTCAACGAAAATTATTATTAATATTCTTTTTTTTAGTTTTTTGAGTTCTAATTTAACCTGAAAATTAGAAAATTAGAAGAAAATTTCGTTAATCTTTCCTGCAGGATTATGATTCAGGCTACAATCATCAAGAAATTGTATGAGTGATCGATGTAACAAGATAACATTGTACTATGTTATTACATCATTTTCACAAAAAAAAAAAAAAAAAAATCCAAAGTCATTTGTATAATATGGTTGGATAGCTGCGTTAAAATTAGGTAGCGCGAAAATTGGGTGTGTGCCAACAAGCCGCAACTCTATCTCGCCTACGCGAATATATCCGCGGATTCGATTAAACGCGCTTCTCTTACGTAATGCGACGCGCTTTTGTTTACAGTGCGAAACGGTGAACAGAAGAAACCGGCGTTCAATGCATCATTAACACCGAATGCAATTAAAAATGATTCGCTAGTGAAATTACGGCCGCTTCCGCGTCTTGAACAAAGGGTATTCTTTGGCTGCGTGTCGATATTAACGAGTTACATTACGGATCGCGGTGCCAGCAACCAAAGTGGATGCAACGATAATGCAGATATATCCTGTTTTCACACTTATCCAAGAAATTTATTATCAAATTTAAAAAAAGTCTCCTTTTCGAAATTAAACAAAAGAGAATTGCAATTTCAATGTTTAGATAATTGCCGTTTACTTTCTATCAAATCCGAATGATATAAATATCATACGATAAGAACATTTTTATTATTGATCACAGCGACATGTGGGAAAGTACGAAAGTATTTGACATAACTCCTATTGAAACTATATATACAGGGTGTTTCGTAACTTCATATAAATATATGTCCTATCTGTCTTCGTTTATCAGATATAATGAATTTTATAAACAGAGCAAACTCTAGTAAACTAGTTTTACCAGGGATGGTATATTCAATTTTCATGACAATCATAATTGGGATGAAGAAAACCTACGTGTTATTGTGTCAAGACAACAACACCAGTTTAGTTTATACGTATGGGCAAGAATAATTGATAAATTTTTAATTGGACCTTTTTCTCTTGATGGGAAACTAACAGGCACAAAGTACGTTGATTTCTTGAGCACGCGTTTACATGAAATATTAGAGGAAGTTCCAGTCGATATTAGACTTTGTATGCGGTTTATGCATGATGGAGCTCCGCCGCATTTTAGCCGAGTGGCTAAGCAATTTTTAAATGAACACTTTGCAAATAAATGGATTGATCGTGGAGGTCCTATTGCATGGCCTGCTCGTTCTTCGAATCCATTAGACTTTCATTTGTGGGGACATTTAAAATCTATTGTATACGCAACATGCTGAATTACTACGAAAAAAACAAATTCGAGACACACCAGGAATGATAGAGAGAGTAACCAGATGAATGACAAGACGCGTGCAGGCTTGTCTTCAAATGCAAGGTGGTCATTTCGAGCATCTTTTGTAAAAGTAATTAAAACAGAGAATTCATTATATCTCATGAACAAAGACAGATAGGACATATATTTATATGACTTTTTTTCATTATTTTCAGGCGTACAATCAGCTCCCGAAGTGGATCCCACAAACACTCTGTATATATACCTATCTGCAAGTTGTCAATTTTTGCAGCAAATTCGCATTGAGCGATACATACAGAAAGTGTGAGAAATATCAATCAACCACGTCCATTTCAAGCAATAGAAAAGCAACAATAACAAGAAGAAGAAGAGAAAGAAGAAAAAAAAAAAAAAAGAAACTCACAGGCATCGACGGTGGCATTCCGCGTAGTGCAGCACCGCTCCATTTGCGCTTCCTGTTATGATACTGCGCAGCCGTATAGCCACTGTTGTTATGATGACTGGAGTACACCGCTGTACGCTGCTGCATCGCCGGCCGAAACGCGGCGTAAGACATTCCCGAATAACCTTTCCCATGGTAATCACCAATCTCGTATCTGTGCGAATCGTGAAGATAAACACTGTCACTGGTGGCGACACTGGACACCGGCACTCTGTAACGTTCCTGTTCGTGCTCGCGCTCGTCAATCTTCCCGATTGGTCGGTCCGGTCTGGCGCCATGAAATGACGCAGGCAGCATCGCCGATGGCCCATAAAAATGCGGGAATCCGTAAGAGTTCAAGAGCCCAGTTGTTACCGGTCGCGGCTGATAGCTTTGATGCGGCGTCTGACACTGGCTAATGATCTCGATATTTCCATCGAGCTTCGTCGGAGGCGGGACGATCGGCTTTTTGTCGTAATGGTAATCATGGTGGAGAGCGTGGTACTCGTCTTGAGGCTCTCGTTTGACGTCGAACGCCTCTGTCGATTCGGGCGCCTCGACTTTAACTCGAACCTGGCCGTCGGCGTCGCTCGGGCAGGGATTTCTCGGCGAATTCTTCGAATTCGGGGCTGAGTCCCCGTCACCTACGCTACCCTGCTGCATCTTCCCAAGGACGTACGACTCGCGTCAGACCGCGAATTCGACCGCGTCGGATGTCGGTCGAATCATCGGCAAACTACGAACCGCGAATGTACTGCGACGATCGGCGATTCCAACAAGCATCATACGTACGAAAAGCAGCGAACCAAGGGCGTTGAAAAACGAACTTGTAACGAGAGTGAGTCGAACGAGTAACGAGAACACCGCGTCGTCGAGAATTTCCGTTACTGCGAGCTACGATCGAACGCGGTTCGAATATTACCATAATTCTCAAAAATCTTCCTAGATGTCACGCGGTTAGACAATAGACAGCTGTCAATATAGTAACAAACACTATTATCGACATCGTCGCGATTCCCATTTTTTTCTTTTTTTTTTTCGTGTCACGAAATGTCGTGCATTTCAGTATCACATTTAGTCGTATGTACCTGTCGGTTATTTTGAAGTGTCGTTAAAACTGCTTCCGGTGAGTCATTGGCAAAATTCTAAACGTAGCGGGCGTGGAGGGACGAGATGGCGGCGTTCGAATGCATGCGTGTATACAAGAGCATCGGGATCGTAGAGGATCGTGCGCCTGCATATCCAGTGTGAAAAGAATTAATCGATCGAGCAGATAATCGAGATAAAGAAGCGAAGAGTCGACGAAGAGTCGAACAGAAGCGTTTGGCGGCACGCTGTCGGTTGGTAGAAGCGACGCTCGTATCGCTGGCTCGGTGCTTTTCGGTCGAGTGGAGGGGGCGAGAGAGGGGAGGACAAGGGCGGCGTGACAGTTTCCGTGTCACGTGTCCCCGACCTTAGGCCCCGCCTACGACTCCGATTTTCCTTCGGTCGGATCGTTACCTGGCCCTATCGGAGGCCCTTTGCTTCTCGTCATTCGTCGAGTGTCGCTCGTACGAGTCACACCGCACTTAACGAGTGACGGTCGACAGGAAAGCGATAAGCTTCTACTTCAGAGGGTTGTCACTTGCAGCTAGCTCACAGCGCGAACGAACGAACGAACAAACGGAGGGTGACAACGGTATGGACACGCTTCGAGGCTTCTCTTCTTTCTCTCTTTCTCCCTCTCCGACAGCGAGAGGCGATGAAACGTCGTCGAGCGTGAAGCACCGTATACATACGTACGCGCGCGACGAACAGACGACTCGCGTCTTCACCGTATTCCGCGAACTTTTTACGGTACACTGCTCCGAGAATCCAGCGGCAACCGACGTGCTCGCTTCTCGTTCAGTCACAGACAAGCGAAGGGAGGGGAGGGAGGGGGATAGGTCGAATCGTCCGTGGATCGAACTCGGCTCTCTTCACGTGACACGTTTTTGTTCTCACGATTGGCTCTATCTCGCGATCAGGGTCACCAGTTACAGGGAGAAAAACACCATATCGGTCAAGAACGCAACGAGCATACGTAAGGATGCCGGATTGCCTCGGTCGAGCTGATCGCGTACGAGTTTCGTTCCACGCAGCGTGAAACTTGGCGGAGGTGCGCGGCCACCACCAGCCAGCGGGAACGCACGAGCCTGCCCGAACACGCCCGAGCTCCGATATATCTCTACCTACGGAGTTGGCCGGCTACCTCCCGCCTTTCGCAGACCTACTATAGCTGCTAGATCCACTTTGTGGGCTCACCTTTTGTTGAATCTAGCAGTGCACTTCTATTCATGGCTTACTACTTCTTCCCGCGATGTGTCTACGCATTCGCCCGCAGTGTTTTCGCCCATTTACCGAGCCCCGACAGACCGTACCCCTTTAAGCCAATTCCATTCGAACTCGCCTATCTTACCAGGCCCTCGGTTCTTTCACTCTTCGTTATTGATATTCCCGTTCCTTTGTGAGTATACGTTTTTTATTTCTTATGTCTCGTATCATGTTGGAAAACAACTATCTAAATAGGAAATATCGACGAATAATATAAATTTATTATCACTTTCTGCTATTTTTATTCCTCTCCGTTGCTTTTCCCAGAGATATCTACATAAAATACATACCATTTGTGTATCTAGCCTAAATGTTACATAATAAAGACTTGATCGATAATGTAACAAAGAAATTAATCCATCTATATCGATAAGAAAGAATACTCAATTATCTGTCTGCAACTAACTTCAGAGCTAGTAGGTACCGAAGCATACAAGCACGTATGCCTACAGTGAGCGTGTCAATTATTAGATATAGGTTAGGTATACATTAGAATCATTTCAAATCTGACACAACAAGTGAAATAGTGTTTTTGTGACTATCGTTTCCTATCCTTATTGTATTTTTATTGATTGAAAAGGTTTGTACCATTTCTTAGTTTCATTTCCATTCCTTCTGTTAAGCAATTCACGTCGGTATAAAATTATTGAATACTAATTTTGACATTGATGATAGATTGATAGTTGAACTACGTTAAATAACGAATAAATTCAATATGCTGCTTTATTTGACGAGTTTGTCCGTTTGCAATTACTTGCCGAGTGGCACTAACTTAACCGAAAGAAATATCGAGCGTGAGAGGTTAACGAACACTCCCGTTCCATTAAAGCATCATTAATATATGGCAAACACGGCGAGCAAGAAGAAAACAGCAATTTGCTTGAAATAAACGGGAGGCAGACAACTTTGAAGCTCGTGCTAATAAATGCCGCTTATTTGAATATTAATTTAACGTAATTCATTTACCGACACTTTGTTTCTTTCGTGTTCCATTCTCTGCGATAATGAATAAAGAATTAAGAAATAATTAATAAAGAATTGAACAGGCATGTCTGTAAAACGCGTAGAGTGGACACGTTAAAAATAATGTTACGGCGAGGATTCGAGGCGGGTAGTCGATAAGGAAAGCACCTACAATTGTGGCACGTAAAAGGGGGAAATTTATCATTTCCGATTCTGCGTTACCCTCGGCGTCTATTTCGATGAGAACCGCCATTCGCGATTCTGTGCGCGCCGTTACACGATATATCAGATTACGTATCCGTTGCGTCATGTAAATTGATACTTGTACATGGCTGAGCACCGCCAGCGAACATTTATTTGAGTGATAAATTATCGTAATGTCGAACAGTCACGCTTTCAATTCCAATTTCACTAACTAGATCACCGGGCATCACTCGACAGCCCAGTGGATGGGAGTTTAATCCACGTTAAGTAGTCGCCAATACTTGCACACTCGTTACGCAACGGGATAAAAAAAGACTCGACGAAATCCAACGAAGTCCCTTTCCTCGCGCTTTTTACGTTTACGCTTAAAGACGTACTTTCAATTTCTACATACCTTGTAGATCAATGATGACGAACCTATGATCCGCGGGTCGTAGACACTGACCCACGCGTTGATGATTTTTATAAAATTATCATCATATATATAAAAGAATTTTGATTATTTTTCCTACTTTTCCTCTTTTCAAAAAATATTAAGAAAATTACAAGTGTTCGGTTAGAGCTTAAAAGTGAGAAATAAATGCGTAATTGTGTTTTATGGGGGATTTACTACTTGGTACTATATATACATATAGGTGTTTTAAGTCTTAAATGTTATATGAATTACTTGTGTCCAAAAAATTTTATATAGCGCTTATGATTAAACAGATGTAATAAACACTGAAAAATACACTAGATCCCATTCTCAGAATGGGTAGCTTTGCTAGCTTTTTATATAATAAAAGAGAGAACACACAATAAAAACTATTAAGAAATAAAGTATATATATCTAATGTATAGTGCAGGGGTGACTGGGCATGATGTCACCCCTTTTATATCAATTTTTTGACGTCGACATTTATTTGTTGCTCTTCACTTGCAAAAGTAAAAGTTGCAAAACAAAAAGGAAACGTAAACTTTTTAGAGGATTATAAAAGTGAAAACCAAAAAAAAATTTCTAACCATCCTCGCCTCCCCCTTTCCAAGTGACGCCACTGATTTAGTAACCCACGAGCTAGTATTAAACATAAAATTTGACCTACTTCTCAAAAAGGTCCGCCATTACTGTTATAGATTATAAATCTTTGATATCGTTTCTCAGCTTGCGAAAAGAAATTAACGTGGTTAAAAAATGGAACTACATATTTTGAAATTATCACGATCGTTTCGAAAAGCAAATTTCTCATTCCCAATTTAGAATTTTTCAATTCTGTTCAATTAATTAATTGTTGCACGATTTTCATTCTAGGTCGAAGGTTATTCTCCGCCATGGGTGTCTACCTGTGCTTCGGTTTCGAGACAATAGAAGGAGAACCCTCGACTCCCTTTTCACGACGTCGATCGCCCAACGGTCCGCATGCATATGCACTTTCACAACGGAATGACTGGTAAGAGAATTCAATTTCTATCGCGGTGGTTATCGCGGTCGCATCTTCCCGTTCACTCGTCTGTTTCTTTCTTTTTTCCTCGACGTATATCGAATCTTACATCAACTGAAGAAAAGACTTAATATATCGATCTCTATCGTCTTTTATCAAAGTTACGTTAAAAAAAATCTTAATCCCTCTCTGACCCATCTATATTCTTGTGTAAAATACATATTTTACTTTCCTCGCGTCAGGAATTTAAAGTTGACAGTTGTTAACTTTCAATAATTCCATCGTAACTTTATTCTACGCTTCTATCGTTCAACGAGACTTATCTGTCGTAATTACGGCACAGAAGGGAAAAATCCATGGCGATTGGTGATACAAACACGTCAGCGCGACCGATACCAGTTGACAGTGACATATCGGGATCAAAAAATATCCGAGATAAAATCGGCCGCGACCTTTAAGCGTGGTTGCCAATTTTTCAGCCGCGTTTCTGCAGCCGAGTTGGGCGATACAGCGCGGTTTCCCGCGCGATAGCCACTGTATCGAGCGAGAACGATGATATTTCATGGGCCGGAGAACGCCGGGTCCTCGTTACGCAATCGGGCCACGCTTCCCAGCTGTCCGATTACAACTCGAACGGGGAATGGAGGGGCCACGTATCGTAGGGCAAAGAAAAACAAGCCCACGTCAAACGCATGCATCGATTACCGGCTTGTTTAGGTTATACGATGATACGCCCAGCTGTAACGGAGATCCTCGGAAAAATTAGACCTATTTCCGGGACTGTTGGTGCGAATTTAGAGACTGTTCTGTCATTGCACCAAGGTAGGTGTATACACGATATATAATATTTTCTAGCATGCTTAAAGCATTTCTGCGTAGAAATTTCTTTGTAGAAATTAATTACACGAGGATAATAATAGGTACCTATCTTATTTGATATTTCAACCAATAAGTAGATATTGGAATTTTTCAAGTGCCCAAGATATCGTAGTAAAATTATAATGTAGATTATATAAAAAGAAATGACACATCACCCCGTGTGCCTCTGGGCACAGTGAAAGTGTCTAACATTATTTTCATATCGTTTCGATAAAAAGTCGATGTAGCAAATACAGTGCAAACGGTTTTTTACGTGATATGTTATTTTTCGTGTTTCGCGATACGATCGAGGAAGATAGAAAATACGTGTATACACGCAGTCGGTCAAGAGTTATCCGTAGCAGAGAGTCCGTAGCCACCGATGCTATTCGCGGCACGACGGATTCTCGAGCCTGCGTTTCTCAATCTCCCCCGGACGATACCCAGCAGAGCAGTACCGCGGTGTACGAGCTTCGAGTTGTTCCCCGAGTAATCTAATTTCCAATTTCCGCCCGGAGGACGGTTTGCACGATAAAATAATTCCGAGTTCCCGGCGTATACGCTGGGTACCACCCTTCTCCTTCCCCTCCCCCTCCTCCCTCTGTTCCTCTTCCGTGAAAACCAGTAATTACCAGCGCGGTCAAAGGATGTCGGACGAAACGCCGCGCCGGTGAAATACGTGCAATCTCGCGAAGAATTTTCACCGAGGTCGATCCCTTCGGCGAGCGTTTCCTGGAGAACGATCGCGAATGGGCGTGTGTCACCAGAGAGCCCGGGGACAGATCGAGCCAATGGGAAGGTGGGAAGGCGTGGATCCTCGGTGGCAGAGGACAGCAAGCGGACGACACGGGAAAGAAGGGGACTCTTGAGCGACGCAAGCCGTCCCTCTGTCCCTCTCGGCTCCATCGGTGCGTCTGTGTCGGTGATCGCGGTCGCACAGTCGGTCGGTCGCGTGGTGGGGAGAGCGTCGGAGGGGTTGTAGGGGAGTAATCCGCGTGGTGGGGATGCGTGGCCCCGCCCACTCGATTGCCGTG